TTGTTATTTATATTAGATAATATTAATTTAAATAATAAATTTGATAATAATTTATTAAGTAATAATTTTAATTTATTAAATTATATATTTTAAATAATTTATATAAACAACAAATTTTATTTAAAAGATAATAGCAATGATTTATATAAAAATAGTTTTAAAAATAATAATAATAAAGATAGTTTTAATAATAATGATAATGATGATAGTTTTAATAATAATGATAATGAAGATTTTAATAATAATAATAATAATTTTAATAATAATGATAATGAAGATTTTAATAATAATGATAATGAAGATTTATTAATTGGTAATTTATTAAATATATATTATAATTTGAATTAATAAATTTATTTATATAAAAAATAATTTATTATAATAAAGAATCAAATAGTATTAAAAGAAATATATTTTTAAAGATAATTCATTAAAATTTTAATATTTATTATTATTATTTAAAATAAAAATACTAAATTTCTGCATAATATATTTATTTTAATACTAAATAACAAAGTCTTCAAATTGAACAAAAATGAATTGTTATTGAAAAAAAAATAATTAAAATAAAAAAACCTGAATTAGAAAAAACTTATTAATAGAAAAAAATCTTTAATAAAAAAGGAGAAAGCTAAAATAGAAAATACAAAAAATAAAAAAAATCAATAAAATAATATGTTATTAGAACTTAAACATCAAAGAAAATTTTTAACAGAAATTAAAAAAATATTTAATTTTTTTAAGGATTTGTAATATTATATTAAATACATATTTAGTATACAATATATAATAAAACTTTAAATAAATATATTATATTTATCTATAATAATTATTCTTTTGAAGAACAAGATTTTGTATATACTTTCATATTTTTTTTTCTTTATTTAAATTACTATCTATTGAATTATCAGAATTTACTAAATTTGAATTGATTTCATTTAAATTTTTATTCCAAATATCATTATTATTTAATGCTAAATTATAAAGAATAATTATTGACTTTATTGTATATAAAACAAATTTTAAATCTTTTTTTGATATAACTTGAGTTCTTATTCTATTTAAATATCCAAATCATTCTTTCCAAATTCCATTTACATATTCAATTTTAATACATTCTTTAGCAAGCATTTTATTAAAAAAAGTATTTTTAGAAATACTTGCTTGTAGTTGTTTATAAAGAGTTATTGTAGTTGGAGTAAGTTAATAACTACAATCTGTAAATAAATATTTATTTTGACTAAAAATTTTATCAACTTTATTAAATAATGGTGTAGATTTATATGCTGTTGAACCTGTAACTGAGCCCAGCTATCCAAAGATTCCAATCAAATATACTTAAATTATCGCAAACTAATTATACTGTTAAAATATATGCTTTTTCTATTATAATATATTTTACTATCTCTGAAGGTTTGTATTCAAGTACAACATCAGTACTTTCTAAATATTCAATACATCTTTTAAATCCTGATGATTGTTCTATTCAATTACTATTTTGTTGTCTTTTAAGAGAATTAGGCTATTGAACATAATTATTTCTAATTAAATTAATAGCTATTATAATATGTTTGGTATATTTAACAATAGTACCAATTCCTAAACCCCATTGTCTTGCGAATATTCCAACTGAAGAAACACCTCCATTACAACCTACTCGCTCTAAAGCAATAGCTAATTGTTGCCAAATTAACCTTTGTAAATTTTTAGACTTAGTTGAAAAAACAGGATTATTATGAATAAGATTTTCTATATGCCAGAATGTTTCTTTATTCACCTGGGTAATTTGCTTAAAATTATAATCATTATAATTAAGCAAAAGAATTTGAAAAAAAATCATTAGATTTGATTGTTTTTTCACATAAGATAAGGCATCGATCCAACTTTGTTACTTGCACTAATTCGAAAAGTTTATCAATTTCTTTTTTGAGTTGATTGCTGGCTTTAGTTTTATTTAAGTTGGCATTGTATTCATTTATGAGTAGTTCTAAAATTTCATTAATACTTTAAATTTGTTGGTTTCGGGTAAAGTGTCTAGGATTATGCTCCGATAAATGCCAAATTATGCATTCGGTAAATAGGAAATTATGCAAATTATGCGATTTTTGCGTTATTAGCCAATAAAATTCAAAAAAACATGACAAGTCAGATGATCACAATCGTATTTACAAGCCGGTCTATTTATTTAACCAATCAAATTTTGCATGAAAGTGCATAAAAGTGAATTATGCGATCTCATATAAGAAAAATCGCAGATTATGCGCATAATATATCGGTTCATAATCCTGGACACCCTAGTTTCGGGATGAAATTTTAGGCATATTAAATAAAAAATATCAAATATGTTCAATTTAATAAGAATTTTATAAGATGCGAAAAGAATTAATACAAATAGGTGTGTCCAAAGCCTAATTGAAAATAAGATCGGATTGATGCATTATTTATTTCAAAATAAATACGTCACCAATTTCAACGTAAATTAGATTCCCGAATTTTAACTTTGAAATCCCCACTGTATAGAAGTTTTGAGAGGTCCATAGTATCATGCATTCGCATATCTCTAATATATTATATAAATTTTGTACACCTTATTTCTAAAATTTTGGTTGCACATTTGCATAAACTTTTTACAAAATACTGGCACATTGAAAATGCTTTCCACATGTGCATCTTATGCAAGTCAATTAAACTAGAGATGTTATCCTGCTTAAACCTGCTAGTTTGTACCTTGAAACCCGTTCGAACATTGCTTCGAACCACGTACTTAAACTTGGTTTCAAACTCTGCTTTAAACTATTTATATGAATGTACTGTTAATTATGTGCTCCTGAGCATGTTAGCTTAAAACTCGTTATATATTTATTTATTAGAACATACATATATATATATATATAGTATACATTTTACTTAACTGTTAACACTAATATAACTATATATGGGCGAAGTGCTACAGAAAAGAGGGAAATCGACAAATTTTCAAAAAATTTTTTTTTACACAAGTCAATTTAGAATAAGATTGGGTTCATTTTTTACTTAAAACTCAAAAGTAGTTGTATTAATAAAATTTTGTAATATAGCTCTTTAAATTTATATTTTCTTATGATTTATTATAAAATTTATAACATAAAAAAAAGGGATTATATTAAAATTGATACATATCTAATAATTTGTAAAAATTCATCATATGGCTTAGGTTGATATCAACGAGGTTTAATTTAACGAAGGTATGCTGTATTTATTAAACTGAGGCATTTGAGTAGATTATTCAAGTTCGTGAATCTTTACTATCAAGTAACGCTTCTCATTTCGTTCGAATTAATTTAAAAATATGAAAACCATTAATTTATCGACTGTATCCAAATATATTGTCATACAATGCAACCTTTCTTCTGCATACATAAGTATTATCCGGGTATTAGATTACCCAGTTACACCGCATACTTCTAATTCAGTAATTGAAGTCCTGCTTCATGCAAAATTCCGATGTCACATATTCCAAATTCCTGTAGTAATGGATTAGAAAATTTTTCGTTTTGTATTAATTTGAAAATTGGGTTGGTCTGTTGGCTTTATATGTAAGTATGCCGTATTCCTCCGAAAATAAGCATCCCCCGAAAGTAAGGGTTCTACCCCAAAATCCCGAAGGCCATTTCCCCGAAAGAACATAATATTGACTAAATTAGCCAGCATTATAACTAATGCTGGCTAACTTTGTCGGAATTGTGTCCTTTTCGAGAATCTGTCTTTCGTGATTTTGGAGTAGAACCAAAGTAAGCGCCCTACAATTCATATACCGGGTGTCTCATAAATTCATATGCACGGTCCCTTTTTTTTTAAGTGTTGCATAAATAATCATTGTGATCTCTACATATAAGGTCACTTTTAAAAAAAGGAACTTCCGGTATACCCGAAAATAAGCACCTTTTATATACTGTTGAACCACCCTTTCAAAACCGATAACCTGTCAAATCTGATAAAAAATTAGTCTACAAAATCTATTTCCGTTATATAAATCTGCTTATTTCTATTACTGTTGGACCTCCCCAAACCGATATGCATGGTGGATAGATTTTGTATCAGTATTGAGAGGTTATCAGATTTGGAAAAACATTATAAACTATTAACTATTCAAGTAATAGCAACAAAGAGTATTTGTTTTCGGAGGAATACGATATATGTATAAATATTTAGTACACTTATTATGTGAGTATCTAGCCATTTTCATGCATGTTATTGGGCCAATTCTAACACATGATACACAAACCTTGTTCACTTCCTATCGGAGGTGAACAAAATTGGGTGTCACATTTAGAAATGACTCAATATGATGCAGAAAAAGGCTATTAGAAATGTACAATAATGTGGTTATTGGGCCATGTTGTTAATTATATTCGCTGATTTCTTCATAGCAGACGCCGCGTTATGATGTGTCTTTCGATCACATCATAAGCACAGTGTCCTAGTGAATAATCAGTTATCATCAATAACATGACCAATAACAAGTATTTATTTATTTATTTTTATTATTTCTTTTTTTATCTTAATTTTTTTTATTTTTTTTCTGCCGTTCCTATCCGATAATTCTAGAAATTGGTTCCATCGAATAAAGTATATAACAAAAATTGCACAATTAGGTTTTAAAAAGATAAATTAACTTTGCGTGGCCTTAACTTTGTAATACACAAGTTTCTAAATTAAGAATAAGATTATTAAGAATGTCACAAATTTTCAATTTGTGCCATTTTCGCGTTTGTATATGGCGAAATATACGTTCACATATGGAACACGAATAAAATGAACACAGCATATTCAGCCCATTTCATGGAAAGTATTTAGAACACAGGTTAAATCTTACATAAAGTTTCTCTTCTAGAATTGCTACTTTATGCACAGACATGATAAATAATTTCTCGTTACCTTTTTCACTTTTTTGTCTTAATACAAACCAATAAATTAAAATGAGGAATCAAAAAATAAAATCAAGTCAATTTATTTTTTTTATGAATTTATATGTACTTAAGATTTCTAGAACCGTTGGTCTTGTACCAGATCGAGCAGGGCATGTAGCAGTTACGATTGAAAATCAAATCGTTTTTATGGGAGGCTCTCGCCTTATCCCACCTGCAAATCCAATTAGGAGTCCAATAAGAGTATATAACTTATCGGATGAAGTTTTTTATTTAAATCTTTCATCACAATTCTCTACTAGTAGCCCTCCATATATAGACCTTTCTAATACTTCTGCACGAATGAAATTTGGAAATGAGAAAGGTTAGCCATTTGATTTAATGTTTAACTATTCTAAACTAAATATGTACGCTTACATTTTCATATAATAATTATTAGGTACTGCAGTACTTGGAGAAGCTAGTGGAAATAAAGTGTATCTCATTGGAGGTGTACAGCAAAATCTCACACGACTTAATGAAATTGACAATAATATAACCATAACTTCGAATCAAACATTAATGATAGAAGAAATAAATAAAACATACAACATGACAGATCAGTTCGTTTTCTTCTACCCACCATTTGGAAATTCTTGGTCGTATCCTTTGGACCAAAAAGGAACACCGCCAGCTAGACGTAGATCAACCTCAACAGTTATTAATCAAAAAGGAATAATATATATATTTGGAGGAAGAGTTCAAGTAGACACAGGGTCACCTACATTCATTTGCTATAATGATTTATATACATTTGATACAGTATTGTTATCCTGGAATAAGATTAACGCAGCCAATGTTCCTTCACCTCGAAGTCATGTCGCTCCAATATTGCTTCCAAGTGGTAAGATTCTATACATTGGTGGTGTCTCTCAAACTGAACCTGGAATGGATGCAGACTTAATAGATATGAATGAGGTAAAATTATTTTGCAAAATATTAGAATTATCTGGATAGTTTTATTAGAGTTTCCTTTATTCATATACAAGTATATATATTAATTTTGTAACGTATTATAGATCCCAGTATTTGATACAATTTCTTCGACTTGGTCATATAAGGCACAGTATTTATTTTTATTTGGTTTTTTAACAATAATTATTTTCGTACCGAATTTTCTCGATAATGTATATTGTATTTTCTAGTATGCAAATCAGTCAATTCGTATTCAACCTCGATTAGGACATACAGCAACCTTAACACCAGACAATAATGAAATTATTATAATAGGCGGAAATTCAAGTACGGAACATTCAATCTGCTTCTATTTGTTTATTTCTTTCTTTTAATAAATATAATACTAGCAAGTTTTTATCTTTAGATTATCAATACAACTTTACAACCATCTTCCCAATTTTTGTGTCGTTAAATATCGCAAAAGAACCTTACGAATATTCTGAGCTAGTTACTTCTGGTGATAAACCACCTCCAATAGCATTTCACACTGCTAATTTATATCAAAATTATCTTTTCATTGGTTTTGGTGATTATATATATTTATTAACATTGATAATTAATATTTACCTTTCTTTAAAAATAATATTAAATTAATAATATATTAATAATAGGCAATATTACTAATAATTCAACACAGCCAGTTGAAATAAACTCATACATTTATTTATTAGATATTCAATGCAAAACATGGGTAACTACTTTTATACCTGGTAAATCAATCTGTAGCAATGAATTGAGTAACGGATCGAGTATTGGATCAAGCAGCGGATCGAGTAGTGGATCTAGTAGTGGATCGAACATTAATACTGTTATTGTTGGTGTCATTGTCGGTGGGGCTATTCTGATTGTTTTCATCATTGTTTTAGCTTATAAACTTAGAAATCGTAATACCCGCTTTAATGGAAATAACCCAAACACAGTGAGACCTATAACACCTGAATGACGGGAAAAAAATCTACAAATTGATTCACTATAATTTAATCGGACTTCAGTTCCTGAAACGCCTGATTCCACATGATTAGTCAATAGTAATTTTGGTAACAATATTGATGGAATTATGCTATTATATTTTACAAGTAGTTGATTTTTATAATACATTAAATATACACTATATATGTTTCGCGTCATTTTTCTTTATGTCGCTTCGAAATCGACATATGTCAATCATGAATTTAAAAATAATGTACGTTATTTTGCAAACGGTAAACTCAGTAAAAATTTATTAAACACAAATATTACAAATTTAATTATGCAATTTGATACTTAAATTTTGTCAAATAAAAGTTCGTAAAAAAAAATAAAAAGAAAAATTGTAAAAAGAAAACAAAAAAAAGCTTTATAACAAAAAAGAAAATTTATTTTTACACTAAACGCGTAAAACACACCCAATAATTCCTTATATAGTGAATTGTTTCTTCGACATGAACAACTTTAATGTTAGTTTATTGTACAATACCAGCAGTTGAGTCGATTTTCTTCAGCCCCTTCTCTCGGGACAGCTTTTTCTTTTTGCCAAATCATTGATTACTGTATTATACAATATTAAATCAAATTAAACTGCTCATAATGTTAATTTTTTTTATAAATAACTGTATCTATTAGAAAATTAATCTTTTAACTACGTAGTTTTGAAAATCTTGAGAAGCTATTATTATTATTACTGCCAATCACTGTAGCTAATTACTCAATAATAACTGGCATACATTCAAGAGGTGCTATAAAAAGAAAATGTTATGTAAATATTATATGGTTTAGCTAATAAAGACACATAATCGAT